CGACCGTACTTATGTTGGCAGAGACGTTGGAGTAGCGGTGATGGCTGAGGGAAACATGAAACATAGGTTAACATATATGCATCTAAACAACCCTTTATTGCATGCCAATTGTATGTACGTAGCGGGTACAACATATGGCAACATGTTCATACATAGTTGGCATTGCTGACATTTATCTAACAGTACTGAGTTCTAAGAGGTAACAGTTCTAACAGTTATAATTGAGCCTAATATACTTTTATAGTTAACAGTGCATGACAATAGATAACAATAAACTACGTACGTTCGTAGCGTTTAGATTGTTAAAAGCGTGTTTGAAAGATCACTTTGTTATCGTGATAGGGTTCAAAAGTTTGTGTCAGCATCCCATGCCTAAGCTCTGACAGATGTAACTGCCTCTGGCAATAAGAATATGTGTCACATCAGCGTGTTTTAATCAGTTCAGCTTTGGAGATGGCGTCAGTTCATATTTTACTCTACATGTTTCATTTAATGGGTTTACATTTCAATTTTCTTGAATGTCTGTAATATCTATATGAAGTTTTGCATTTCATGCAGACCTTGGTGCTTGACGTGCCACAGATAACGACAACTAAGTCGTGGGTGGTTTTCAACTCAAAGGAATACGAATATTCAAGGATTCAAAAGAGCATTGGCTATGTAGTTAATAACTGATCCTTAGCTACATTTTCGTCATTAGCTTGACCAATTGAATGATGGTGCTTTGTTTTATGTGTACGTCCCACTTAGAGCTAAAAGGATGCCTCCAAGGCTTAGAGTAGTGCTGACGCTTGCAATCGCATTAACCCAACCCATTTTAGACGGATGGCTTCCAAAACATCTGTTATTACATTTGGCATTCACAGCGGGTAGTTTTACTCCAAATGAAAACAACGGGTTGACTCTTGATACCACAGAACTGAACTGAGTAACATTTATATTTACATGTTACGACACCTCATTTATCATCACACGTACAAATGTAATAATGCTTTAATAAGGGACCGGGTTATCTAATAAAACCCACATTTCTGACACCAACTTTGGCTGATGAAGATAAGATGGTGCCGTAAAATTCTACGCTACCGTAAGATACTGTTTTAACTATTGGTGCAAAATACGTTATCAGAATTTGGTACATAAAAATCTACTCACGCACCTTCTGCAGACAGGACGAAAGATGCCAAAGCCGCCATCAGAACACACACAAATATCTGCACAGCCATCGCCGCAGCAATGTCTTCGTTTGGGGGGACACGTAATAAAGGTAGAACCCTGCGAGAATAATATGAAAGATATCAGTAAGACGAAAAAGAAGTGAATTCTTCGAGTCTTGACAGTCCTCCTAGACGTTGATAGCGTTAGTCATCGCGTCATTGCGCGTCCATTGAGGGTGTTCATCATGTTGACAGTCGACCCGAGTTCTGCACAGTCAACAGTTTCCTGACCTAAGGCCTGTAAATCTCACGCTGAAATGCATTGGTTCCCCGAGTCACGTTGTTTTGTCACGTACCAGACGTGCCACTGCTTCACGTTGCTTGCCTCAGCGTCAACCAGAAGAAGACCAACACATGCTCCTCCCCACAACACCTACCAGAAGTGACACTGCCTCACGTTGCTTGACTGAGAGTCAACCAGAAGAAGACCAACACATGCTTCTTCACACAACCCCCACAGCAGAGGCGTAACGTATGATAATTGTATAGTCCACGGGATTGGGTACCTCCTCATCAAGCTGCCAGCCCGGCCTCCAAGGGGAGGTACAAATTAAGAAATGTGTGTCAAACCATTCCTGGCAATTTGTATTCCCATTGGGTTACAGCTCATGGTTACTGCTGACGATCAAGAAAGAGGGTTTGTAGCTGTTCATACTCTGGACAAGTAAGCTTATAAACAGCAGAGTGACTGACGAATCCCTGTCAAATATATATGGTTGGCGATAATCAGTGATTATTGCGTGGGGATCTCGTGAAATTTTCAGTCACTACTAATGGCAAAAGGGATTTTTATGTCAACGCAACCGATTGGAATAATCGATTCCTCAAGTGTACTACGAAATTAAGGTGAAGCACGGCATAAATCAAATTGGTAAACCTCTAATTTGTAAGAATGCCGCTAAAACATACATAAAGAGGTAAAAGTGAAATAAAAGGAGAGCGTAAACTAAATGTGGTCATTGTATTTTCAGTGGCAATGCATTCTTATGCTCAAGGCGTCTTATAGCTTGTATCCGTCCTTCACCCACTAGTCAAGGAAACTTCGTAAATATTTAAATCATGGTCGGGAATTTACCACATGCATGTACCCGCTGTCATGTCACCGCGGAAGGTAAGCTTTCATGCGCTAAAATGCATGTCCAAGTTTCCCAGGACGTGCCAAACGCCGGGAGACTCTGAGGCTAACAGATGTTTCACTGTTGGCCTGGATTCAAGTATTGATCTCCCAGTAAACCCTTGTCCATCCGTTAGTACTGGCCGTACAGCTGACGACATGACTAGACTATTCATGCAACGGAAACCTTTCTTAAGCACCATGCACAGAGAATCCATAGGTCTTCAAATATCATACAACTAAAGCACGAACCAGTACGTTAGGTGCATGGATAGCAACTAAAATTATGTATATTCAGCACCAAGGACAACACTCTTTGTAATATCAGAGAACTTACTCATTGCAAGCTGGGCAGTACAACAACAGCGCCAGGTCGGGGGCATTCCTATAGCTTGTCATTAACCTCACTACGGCAATGCATTTGCAGTGCTGTGTTGAATAATGTAAATAAATCATGCCGGATCCTCGATGATTATAGGAAGTGAATTCAGCAGACGCGTTTATTTTAGGCCACTAACCATATGGTTGACATTAGATTAGAAATGAAGAAGACGGCCGAAATTACCAGCGGTACCAGGTCCATGATCACTGATATCAGGTTAGAGGCTGTAGAAGGAAATGATGATTGCTGCAGTTTTGTCTAAATGCTTGAGTAATTTTGACCCTCCCGGCAGCAGCAATTAAAAGAAAGTACGGCAGTTTCTAATGGCAATGATTTAACATATGATGCTGGGAAGTCATTACGTAGAGAGTTGTTCGATAACAAGCACAGTTATAGGGATTACAGAATCCTATTGTAGAATCCTGTAATTCAGCATCTGCAGAGGTTCTGATGGCGTTATCATTAGGACGCTAAAAAATCCCAAAGAATTGTAGTAATGAGGAGATATTGCTAAAATAGTGCCTGATTTTGCTTACTGTTCGGCATCTGTCCAAAAATTAATGTCTTATTTCAAGGGTCGACAGTTTGGCGCAGCACGTGACTATTCTTAATTGAAAATTATTTGAATTCAATAACTTAATTACCCTCTGCACCATCGATATGCAACTTACTACACAAAGCTGTCAGCACCATGCTGTCGAGTTGCATTGAAAGAACGTTCTATCTACATCTTGTGATATATTTCGAAGATTACATACAGATTATAATGCCAAAAGGGCCGGCTAGCATTTATATTCTTTTCCGTTGTAAAGAGCATGATAAAGTCAAACCGTGGGCAGAGTAATTGAAGGTCAGCTTCGGTAGAGTAGAACGTTTTGATTCATTCTCCTTTTAATCTATCTACACGGCAACACCCAGAAGAGAAATGTTTAATGATTTGCAGTAATAAGGTGTTTACAATGGCATTGATCGGCCTTGCCTCCTTCCCTCTAGGTACCCATCGACTACCGGAAGAAGTGCTCTATACTTATCGGAAAATGGGAAATCACCCATTACAATGTTCTCTCTACATTAAAAGGTGTTTTGAGGGGAGGCCATGACCGATGCACTTATTGTAAAACTTTCTTCAATCGTTTACTTTCCACCATTATCAAGCTATATAGAACCAGCGTTTCTTGTCTAAGTTTTTGAACACCCCAATCCCTGTGTGATAACTCTGGTACTTGAAAGCATTTCTTGTTCGTTTCTGAAGTAGTATTTACTTAGTAGTTGGTACGTCCACCAGTTTATTAGTCATTTTGTACATTTTGTACTTATGTTGAATGCAGTATGTTAAAACAACGGGTTGCATTCTGTGTTAGTTGTTCATATTTTCCGTACACTGTCTCTTTCTGAATGACAACCAATGTGTTGATTGAGAACGGGCTGGTTTACCAATCCAATTAACATCTTCAAAAGGGTGAGAGTAATAATGTTAGACCACAGATTTGAGGAGTTCACTAGGCTGAACTTCCGCCGTGACTACAAGCCAACAGAACACATATATTCCCATCTTATCTACCGGCCTCAGAGATGAAAGCCTAGCCCAACGGCCTGTGCCTTTATCTAATCTGACACAGTCGCCACGTTTGTTATTGGCTGAGGCATTATCACCATTGCCGCCAACGGCAACAATATTCCCTACGGAAGTGCCGCAATTGCAAAGCTCTTGCTATATATGCTAAATAGTGTTGATACGTGCCGAAAATTACAAAGCGAGCAGAGTGCAAGGAATAAGTCATGAAATAATATGCTTCCTTAATATGATTTCAATATTGCTTACCTGCACATAATCAGTATTCATGACAAGGAAAATGTACAATGTTCATGTATACATTATGGAAGTGTTGCTGTTACACACAGTAGCTGGATTATTTACTTTAGATAGGCGCCAATATGGATCTTGAGGCTGTGCTATAGATTGATCGGTATTCCGATGATAGCCAGAAGCGCCTGGAATCCCGGTAATCCGCTTAAATCCACAGCTCGGCAACTGTTTCATTTAACAAGGCTGCAGAGTGATGGATGGTCCCCATTTGGCTGGTTATCGAATTATGGCTAATTCTTTGCAGAAAGGGATAATCCCTTCCCGGATTTGCAGGCATAGCAATTCCGTTTGAATTAGTGGGATACGCCGGCGTGTCT